CGGCGGCGGCGGCGGCATGGCGGAGAGCGAGGCCGAGACCCCCAGCACCCCGGGCGAGTTCGAGAGCAAGTACTTCGAGTTCCACGGCGTGCGGCTGCCGCCCTTCTGCCGCGGGAAGATGGAGGAGATCGCCAACTTCCCGGTGCGGCCCAGCGACGTGTGGATCGTCACCTACCCCAAGTCCGGTGAGCCCCGCGCGGACCCCGCCCGCCTCTACGGCGCGCCCGCGTAGACGCTGCGCCCGCGGCGGGGGTTTCCCGTCGGGGGCGGGGAGGGCGGGGGCGCGGCGGCGAGGACAAGGGCGACCACGGCGCCCCCGCCCATTCGGTGCCCTGAACCCGACAGGGCGGGGCGGGGGATCGTCGGCCCGCATTGGGGAAACCAAAGCCAGAGATCTTGGGAGGTGGGCCCCGGTCTCCACGCTGGACGGCGTCCCTGGGAGATGGAGCCTGTTTGGCTGGAGCTGCCCAGGGCCGCCACCTCTGCCTGCTTCCCCACCCATTACCCGGCTGGCTGTGTGACCTTGCACAGTCACTTAATCTCTCTGTTTCTGGACCCGGTTCAGCCTTTGATGAGTGCAGAGTCGTGGTGATCATCTGGGAATGGGGGATAAAACGGGCGTCAGGGCTGTGTACGTCCCTTTCCTGCGTGGGCTCCGGGGGCGGGGGGAGGTGTTTGAGACTAGCCGTGCCCAGAGTGCGTGCTGGGTGTGTTCCCTTGTTTCAGGGTCTCCTCCATCACCCAGGTGTCAGGCAGGGCCCTGGGACATTCACGTTTCCCAGCCTTAACTGACGTCGTTTTCCTCACCACCATGTAAGGTGGAGATGGTCATCCCCCTTTTACAGTCTAGGCACTGAGGCTCAGAGAGGGGAAGTGGCTTGCCCAAGGTCACACAGCTGATGAGTGGCAGAGCTGGGATTTAAAGCCAGGCGAGTCTGCATGCAGGACTTGATGTAAGAGATTTTCATGTAGCGCCTTTTCTGAGGTTTGCAGGGAAAAGAGGCAGCTGTCCTGTTCTTTTAACATTTCTGGGGGTTTCCCTTGTTGCCACGGTACTGGAGAGGGAGGGAGATGCCTGAATCCAGGCTGTGCCCTGCGTTTGCAACCTGGTGTAGGAGGTGGCCGGCCTTGAGGTCATGTTGGACCAGCAGGGGGCAGCTTGCTGGAAGAGCTGCAGGCTTGACTGTCATAGCTGTGCAGAGTCCCAGACGTCCGGGGGGTAGGCCTGATCCTCTGGGGCAGGTTGGGGAAGGGGCTGTTAGTGGAGGGGTGGGGAGCCACGTTGGTGGGGGGAGCTTGGGGAGAAGTCTGGAGGTACTGCAGGGCTGTCCTTGGGAAGAGAGAGAGGAAGGAGATGTGCATGTATCACTTGCTGTGGCCCCACAGCCCCTCTCCCAAATCGTGGGGCCCTGTGGGTGTGGGGATTCAGAATTTTTCAGATTTTAGAGCCATAGATACCATACATGCTGTAGGACCCCCAGCGGCGTGTGGGGCTGTACTTTGGACCCCCACATTGAGTGGAGTCAATAAAAACTAAAAATAGCCTCATGTCGGTTTAGGACAGGGTTTGCCTCCAAATAAATTGTGAAAAACTTGATTTGGGAAGCTCATTAGGATTTTGGAGTCACAGGTGAGGGATTGTGGTTCTGTGTCACCGCCTCCAGTTTGCATGAGGGGATGGAGGGTGAGAAGGTAAGTAGCTGGAGGGGTGGGGGGCACAGGCCCCAAGGCTCACTTGGAAAGCTGGGTGCTAGGGCTGTGTGGAGTGCTTTAGAGGGGCTGCCTCCGGGGCCTGGTGGGGTTCTGTGGGCTCCTTTCTGGGCACCTTGATGGGGAATGAGATGTTAGCCGAAGGAAAATTTCTAGATAACCAGAACTCACATCTTGTTTGTAACTCGCATGCTTCAAGACAAATAAAATCATACTCTGGACTTTTTAACAAAGAGGGCAGACATGTGGCTCTTTCCCTTGGTGACGGGAAACCCCGTGGTGGCCTGGAGACCATGTGTGAGGTCCCTTCACCCAGAACCCTGGACAGCCACCTTTTTGAAACTTAAAATTCCCCACAGCCGTGGCAGCCTGTCCAGGCTCTCTCGGTTTCTCCGTCTGCCCCCTGCCTGCTCCTTTTACCTTTTCCACCTGAGGGCTGGGCAGCCTGAGGCCTGCCGTGTTAGAACTGCGTGTGAGCGAGGAGCAGATAGCACAGACAGCCACCACCATGCTCTGTGCTTTGTGGCTCCCAGGGCCCCGTGTGTCCGTCATCACAGCACAGTCTCCCCAGAGCTCCATGAGGCAGGTCAGAGTTGGGCTCCCATTTCACAGGTGGGGACGTGGAGGCTCTGGGAGGGTAAGTGGCCTGCCCAAGCTCAGGGGGCTGGAACAAGGCTGACTTGAGCTGACGGTGAGCCTGGGAGTAAAGCAGAAACAGAGGCGTGGGTTTTGTGTGGGCCAGTATTTTCTGTTTCTTTTTTGCTTTCTTCCTGGTGTTCAACCTGTCTCAGTCGCTCCTTCTCATCCATTCCATGGGATGGTGACAGGGCACGTGAGAAGTGTTCCCAGGAAAGATGGCCTGCACTAGCTCTAACCAGTGCTGCTGAGGGTTTCACCCTCCCCACCCCGCTGTCTGTAAAGGTCAGTACACGAAATGACCAGGGGACTGAAGAATTGGTCCCAAAAATCTGCCCTAAAGATGTTCCCTCAACCGGAGAAAAACGGCCGTGGGAGTCGTCTGCAGTGGCAGCTGGCAGGGCAGGAAGAGCAGGTCTGGGGTCAGGATCTGGGTGCTCAGAGTCGCTGCCCTTCGTGATCCGAGCCTCCGTTTCCCCTGCTGTGAAATCCACAGCTTAACTGCGCAGTCGCTGAGGTGGCTCCGGCCGGCGTTCTTTGAGGGGCTGTTACTTTGAACACGGGCCTGTCACAGTTTGGGGTGTGACCTGGAGTGGTTAAGAGGCCGCTAATGGAGTCGTGTGTGCCAGGTGCTCTGCTGTGTTAATCCTCGAGGGACTCGTGCCTCTTTTTGGAGGCTCAGAGAAGGCAGGAACTTGCTTGGAGTCACACAGCTGCTGAGGGATAGGGGCTAGGTCTAGTCAGGTCCCCTCGTCCACGGCCAGCCTCTCCCCTGCCCCTCAGGTGCCCTGCTCCTTTGGAAGGTCATGAGGGCAGCCAGACTAAGGCCCCAAGGAGGAGAGGGGATCCCGCCTTCTTTCTGTGTGCTTTGTCACACTCGGAGCCTCAGGCCACTTTGGGATTTTAAGGTTTTTGTGACTGCTGTGAGCCCTCTGCACATGGCCTCCAGGTGGCCCAGTTCACATTCTCTGACCCCTTTCTTCCTGTCTTTGCCCTCACCCACCAGGAGTGAGTCTGGAGGAGGCACCAGTGCTTAGAGGTTAAGAGCCTGGCTTTGGAGCGGGAAGTCCTGGGTTTGAATGTGGCTTCGCTGGCTGGGTGGCCCTGGGCAAATGACATAACCCTCTGAGCTGAGCAGGGGTTTCTGCAGGGGTAGGAGAGACCACCTCACTGCCTTGATGGGCGGCTGTGCAGATAAGTAAGGTGATGGGCGAGGGCCCCTCCCTGTTCCAGATGCATGGTAAGCACAAGAAAGGTCGTGTTATTATGCCAGCTCTCACTCCCCGAGCACCTGTTGTGCCCAGACGCTTTCCTAGGTGCTAGGAGTGCAGAGAGAAGCCCCATCTGGTGCCTGTCCTCAGTGTGCTCTCAGTCTGCTGGGGGACAGGCAGCTCTGGGTTTGGGGGAGTAGCCAGGACTAGCAGAGGCCCCCTTCCTGCCAAGCAGGGAAACCACGGGGCCCCTCGGGCTTCCAGGGCCCAAGTCTAGGAGATGGTAATGAACTTGCAGGTGGTCGGAGCCAGAAGGGTCTGCAAGGTCCCTTGTCCACCCCTGCCCCCTCTGATGGGGAGCTGGGGTTTACAGGATTGCGGATTTCTGGTGGTAAGGCAGTAATAATTAGATCCTGCTTTTTTCCGCAGCACTCCACTGCTCTAGGATTTTTTTTGTGTTTCTGACATTTGAGCTCAGAGGACAAGACTGTGCTGTCCAGTGCAGTAGCCTCCGGCCACATGTGGCTATTGAAATGCAGTGAACTGGAATGAAGTAAAGTTAGGAATTGAGTTCCCCAGGAGCACTCGCCATGCTTCAAGTGCTCAGTAGCCGCGTCTCGTGGCTGCCGTATTGGACAGCATGGGTGTGGAATATTTCCATCATTGTCGGAGGGTCTGTGGGACGGTGCCAGTTCAAACTGGGATCCAGATGCTGGGAGCCCATTGTGCCTTCTGAGGAGGACCCTTCTGTTTGTTGCTTGTTCACAATCATTCATTCTTACAGCCTGTTTGGTCCCGGGATTGTTGTCGTGTTGAGTCTGGTTGTCTGGGGAAGCGTCCTGTAGCTGTCCACTGCTATGATGGTCACTGCTGCCGTCGGTTTTGCTAACGGGGTGATGGTCCCAGAAGTCACGGAGCATCGGCTTTGGGATATCCTCCTTGGCTTGTCCAGAGCGCCCACTTCCTGGTTTTATTTTCCTTTTGGTTCTGGCCAGTCCTGAAGTGCATCACATTCTCTTCTCAGTGACTGGGAGGGAGGAAGGGAATCACAGCCAGGGGAGTGAGCGCATGTGGGCCCCAGTTCTAGCCCTGTCACCGTGTGACTTCACTGTGCTCATGAGAAATGAGAGGATTGGACCTGATGATTCATTTAAGTCTTAAATTTTAAGACGGCTTGGGGGTGGGGAGGCTGCGGGGAGACCCACAGGTCCCAGGTTCCACGGATGTCTTAGTTTTCTTTGTTTGTGCATGTCGCCATGCGGAGGAGAAGTGGGCATCAGGCGTGTTGTGAAAAGCTGTCCTCAGGAGCTTACAGTGACACTAGGAAGCCAGGCTCCTAATGCAGAAAGCTAACTGATAGGCCAGGGTGGTCATTCTCAGGGTCAGGTCTGGGGCCCAGGAGGGAGGGTTCAGAGGAGGATGATCACGGGAGGACTGCATGGAGGAGGGGGCTGGGACCTGGACATGAGGGCTGGAGGGGATTACTGATTACAGCTACTGTCCCACTCTCTGCCTTGCTTGAGCCTGAGAATAGCCCATTTTCTTGTGATTGTTTTTTGGAGATAGAAAAAGGCCCAGTGAGGGGCAAGGGTGGTATCAGCATTTGAGTGTACAGTTTTTACAGTGGA